TGGAAATTGTTTCCGGAACATACATTGTTTTAAGTTTCGAACAACTTGCAATTCTATTTTCAGCTCTCGCCTTCCCATAAGAGCAGAACCGATCGTTCGTAATTTTTTTCTAAAAAAAAGCAGCTTTTTCATGTCCACCGCGAGCACCGCGATTGATTGGCGCATTGGTCTGCATTTGCATTGATAATAGCATTGTCAAGATTTGAATTAGTATGTACGTTATTCTTGTCATCGAATTGGCTGGCCTAGCGATTTGGCCTAGCAATAAATTCTAGTAGCATACAAGAAAACTGAGGTGGGTGAATTGGATCGTGCCGAGGCGTCGTAGATTACGGTGTATCCGCGCCTATCTCGAACACTAGTTGACCTATAGCCAAAATATACATAGTTAAAAAAGTGTTGAACACCTCAGCGCATAGTTCTCTTGGGTAATCCAATCAGGGCAGACTATAAACGTGAGGTACAGTGGAAATAATGCCATATCTACTTGTTAAAAACGTTCCACATTTCAGCCATTTATGCAGGAAACAACAACAACAAAACAATGAATTATTAATATCAAGTGACAGTTTGCACCCTTATGTAAACAAACAGAAAGCTGTGCTTATATTTATCTACTCACTCAAATTACGATGGGGGCTTGGCACCTTCAACTTCCATGTATTTGATCAGATCGGCACGGTCTTCAGGTTTTTTCAACCCTGGGAACACCATTTTCGTTCCAGGCATGAACTTTTTCGGGTTGGCTAAGAATTCGAACATTGTCTCGCGCGTCCAAGTAATGTTCTTAAAAATGCCGATTTAAATGCCAATAATTTTAAAAGATTAAAGGAATGCATTTGCTACCTTCTTCTTATTTGCCTCTGAATATGTGTAGTCAGGCACAACACCGCTAGCCCTGCCCATTATTCCATTCAAGGAAGGACCTGTCCTTGCAGCCATAGAGTTTATAGTATGGCACTGTAGGCAACGTAGCTTATAGATCTGAGAGAGAGAAAAAAAAAAGATTCTTGGTAGAAGAAATACCCAGGTGAGCAACCTACCTGTTTCCCCTTTTCGTAATCACCTTCAGGAATGCTCATTTCTGAATTGAAGTGACTAGTGCTTTAGTGATCTGAACCTCATTAATCGCTAAAACTAGATATAACTAGTCATTATCAATAGTAACTTGAAGCACTTATCTTTAAAAAATGCGCACTCACCGCTATCGCCTAGCGCCCGCGCGATCAATAATTATTGACTGCGTGTGGTTAATGTAAGAAACGGCTCCTGAAAACACATTGGCAACTCTCCAAGTGCATTTCAGCCAGGTCTTTTCAATTATGTGTACGGGATGCTGAAGTCATTTGTTTGACATTTTTCTCAAACTCGTAAACCCGGAGAAGTTTTTCATTACCATAAGCAGCATTTTAGGCTCCAAATACCCATGATGTGAACTAGCGTTTGGGCGATACTCGTGCACGGCGCGTATTCGCACGTGTAATCGCAATTCGCCTGGCCAAAGACCCATGCTTTGAGGAGCCCTCGATGCTCAGACCTTCCTAACATGGTCGCGGCGTAGATCTTAGCCATTGCTTCGATCAACAACGAACCTGAGTTTTGAACAGTAGATAAATTATGTTGCGAGAGCTGATAGAAAACTGCGCGGCATTTATTCAACGTCTCATCGACACGACACGTTAGTTGCTGCCTTTGGCGTTAAGGTGCTTGGCGCCTGACTTGGCTGCGCCGAAAAAAACAACTAGCACGCATCGCGCGTTCGCGCTAACGGACAAAACACCGATGCGGGTCGACTCTTGAGGAACGAACTCTACATAGCTCCAAGCTTTTACTGCTCAGTAAGCAAGAAATTTTCCGAATGTGCAAACACTACATTTGAGTCTCAAATCGTGATTGACCGTTCAAAGAGACATTGTGTGCTTGCTCTTTGCCTGCTCTCTGTATACACGAAGCTTAAAGACAGTGTCTGTGTAGTTTTAAACCCCAAATTTTTGCGTTTCTTGAATGATTTCGGTGCGCTGACCATGAAAGCAACTTCAGTTACCGTGTCTTCAAAAAACAGATTTCGAGCCCTATTTGGGTTGATAGGGACGAATGGCAGAGGAGCGCGAAGCGATCGTATGCCTTTTTTTCGCTAAAGAGAAGCCAAACACGGGCGGTGCTGAAGAAAAAGTCACTGAGTGGGCGGAGTGACCAAAAAGAGACGGACTGACCTAACTATGACGAATTATCTGCCTGAATTTGAGGAATAGCTTATTTAGGAAGTGAGATATCATTATCTGGGCCTAAATTTTTAGTTTTGCTCGGATCCTGTTCTTAAAGTTTATATTTACTTGGTTATACACGAACGATATGGTACGTATAATCCAAGTACAAAATTTTCGTTCCTTAGCTGACAGCTTCAGATTTTGTACATACTATTGGGACCGACGGGTAACGTAGGCTACTTTTAAAATTATCCCATTGATTGTGTTGAGTACTCTACCTAAGTGTTATCAACCATTTGACAACTATAATAAAAGTGCAAAATAAGTTTTCGGTGGGCGTAGCATTTTCCAGCTAGTGCTCAATAAAGTCTTTGTCGCCGGGTAATTTAGTCATTCAGTCACAGTTTCTCGGTTGCTTTCGAACAGAGGAAATAGCTGGTGCTATTAACTAATCAGCACGTACTGTCCGCCAGAGCAAACACGCGACGCGCGCTTTTGTCTGCATCCGACGTGCCACTTCACGTATTTCGCCAAACAGTTTCGCGCCATAGGAAATGGCGTGCGTCGCGTGTATGCGTTGCCGTGAATAACAACTGAATCAGTCTGTGTTATCAAGTGGTGGCGATTTGCCATAAAAAGATGGATTGAGTTATTCTGTTTGAGACAAATTATCAGAATTTGTTCA